AAAATGAGAGAGATGATGATTCTGCGGCCACCCTATCCCAGCCATATTATTCACATATCGAGTCCCAACAGCAACAATGCAGGTGAGCATGAAGGATGGACAATTTTCGGGGATTTTAGATTGGGAACACAACAAAACACTAACACTCAGGGATTTGGGAATAGTCAGACGTCTGCTAATATCAATGATTCGTTTTTAGATCAAATCAATGAATTGTTAAACAAATTCAATCAATGGCACCAACGTGACCAAGAAGAACAATAACGTCGTCTATCATTTTATTTTTAGATCATATGTTACTAATTTTATGTTTTATTGTAGTCCATGTATGTTGATATACTTATTCCATGATAATTCTATATTTATCTTTTTGTGTGATGTAAATTAAATGCTGAAAGGGAAAGAACATATCAATATTCGCATATTCATTCAAAAACATGAAAATTCTTAATGGAGTACCCTCATTTCTTATTGAATTCCTAAAAAACAATATTTTTTTCGGATTTTTTTTAAGCTTTATTCTGACCGATTAACTCGATTCTCGATTCGGATCGGTTTTTTGGAAGCCCTATCCGGGTCACCGATCCGTTTTTTAAACCATTGGTCGAACGTAAAGCGGTATTTGTTGATTCCTTAGATCCCTAGGAGAATAGAAATTAGGAAAAATTATGAAGTATCGTTTTTTTATAGAATTGATCATTAACTTTCTCCAATCAAAGAAAGGTTTGGCCATCTTTATCTGTCAAATTTTGTTTCTAACTTTTGTTTATACTGTTGTAGGGCTACCAAGAGGAATCAATTTTCCATCAAATTGCAATAAGCCATGTCAGGCAGGGGCCATTGAGATGTTATCCTCAGAATGGAAGACAGGAAAGGCTTAGTCCCTTTTCCAGTTGTGATTGTGAAACATAGTTTGCAGACTTCGAAACCAATTTTGTGGTCGTGAAACACACTTAATTTGTGGTGGTTTTTTTAGTTTTTATATGATGGCAATACAATGGTGTAATATATAATATTTTATCTTGTGACATGCAATATACAATTTTTTATCTTGTTACATTCTCTCAATAGGAAATAGTCTATTGTTGCCTTTCCAAAATTAAGATTCTTGAATTTTGTTTTTATTACTCCCCGCAAACTCGTCTGAGGAGGCATCTGAAGTTCGAGTTTGAAGTAAGATCTTGAAAAACATCTCGGGACATTGGCTTGGTGAAGATATCAGCTATTTGATTACACGAAGATACAAACTGAGTGACAAGTATCCAAGAGCGTCCTTTTCACACACAAAATAGCAATCTAACACAATGTGTTTTGTCCTAGCATGAAATATAGGATTAACTGTCATATATAGAGCACTAATATTATTACAAAAAAATGTTGGTGCTTGAGAAAGTGGCACCCCAATGTCTTGAAAAATAAAAGAAATCCATGTTAATTTTACAGCAGTAGATGTCATAAATCGGTATTTGGCTTCAACGCTTGAATGAGCTATAGTTGACTGTTTTTTAGCACTCCAAAATATACAGTTGGAATCCAAATAGGTGCAAAAACAAGTGGTTAAATGGCAATGTTTGAATACCCATCCTAGTCAGCATTAGAGAATGTGTATAACTCAAGGGAACTAGCAGATAGGATTTTTATACCATAAGATTATATACTATTGAGATAACGAAGAATCGGCTTAATTGCCTGAAAATATGCAATTGTAGAGGTATGCATAAGTTGACATAATGTATTAACAATGTACGAAAGATCGGGTCGCGTTAAAGTGATGTATTAGAGCACAACAATAATGTTCCGATGAGAGATGGATCAAGAAATAGATCAGGATTCCCATGAACATTATTCTTCACTGTCATTGGTGTTGAAATAGGTTTGGCACCTAACATTTAGGCACGATCAAGAAGATCCCGGAGAGATTTGCTTTGTGACAGGAAGATTCTACTAGAAAAATAAGACACCTCTATGTCAAGAAAATAGTGAAGAGATCCAAGATCTTTCATTGCAAATTCTCTTTCAAGTTGGGAAATAAACCATTTCAAAAGATCAAAATTATAACCTATAACAATAATATCATCAAAGGATAATTGTGTCTTAAGTAGTGCAACAAACAAATAGAGATGAATCAACTATATTGCAATAAACCCCTAATGATAATAAGTAGGTACTAAATCAATCAAACTAAGCTCGATGTACTTGCTTGTGACCAATTATTTAATTTGCAAACATGATTTAGATATTACGATCTAACAAAGCCAAATGGTTGTTCCATAAATACATGTTCCTTAAGAAAGCCATGCAAGCAGTTTGATAGGCTAGTGACAAACAATAGCTATAGTGAGCATAATTCGCATACTAGCATTCTTAATAATATGACTACAAGTTTCAAAGAAATCAACTCCAACAAGCTGATTATATCCTTTACCCCCTAGTCTGAGCTTGCGTCTCTTTAAACTACCGACAGACTTTAGTTTAGTCTTATAGACCCAACGTTAACCACCAATATTCATACTTGGAAGACAAAGAACCAACTTTTAAGTGGAATTAACATATAAGGCTTTAATTTCGTCTTCCATTACACGATGCCAACCCAAACCATTCAAGGCAAACTTGATGGACTTAGGCTCATAATGGATAGTTTCAAAAGTAAGAGCATTTGAGACTGTCACCATGGATGGGAGAATTCGAGGTTTTTGAGTACATTTTGAGTTCTTATGACCACGTGATAACGATGGCGCTCAAGGACTCGTGAAAAATTAAATTGGTTGGTTTCTTGGGTGACAACATTTTAATCATCATGAGCATGTGTTGTATCATCTTGGACATCTTGGGTGATGGCATTTTCATCACCATGAACATGGGCTGTATCATCTTGGGCATCATGTATGGTTGTCATCTTGGTGGCATCTTCCTCTACAAGAGGAGTTGGATAGCTATCATTATTAAGAGGCAAGTCAGCTAGAGGAATCAACACACTGTACATCCCTTATGGGCGATCTATGTGGAGGTGATGAATCAGAAGAAGAAGTATGTATGTCAGATTCATGACACTCAGACCATTCTGCATAAGAACATGTGCACCATCAAATAAAGAATATGGATTAACATAGGAAAAACTAATTTCATCAATTACAATATGTCTAGAGATATGGACTCGCCTTGTGGGTAGATGCAGACATTTGTTATCCTTATGTTGAATATTTTAACCAAAAAATACATATGGAAGAGAACGATGACAAATTTTATTTGCAACATAGTCTCAAAGGTACGAAAAACACTGACACCTAAAAACTCAAAGTGATTAATAGTCCGGTAGGCGGTCAAACAACAAAGGATTTGATGAATCCATTTGCAAAATGGCCGAGGGGATCGTGTTTATTACAAAGATTACAGTATGAAAAGATTCAACCCAAAGCCGTTTAGGAACTCCCGCATGAAACATCATTGTAAGGCCAGTTCTACAATATTCATATGTTTCCTTTCAACTATTCTATTTTGTTCAGGGGTTCCCAAACATAATATGTGTTGCACAATTCCATTATCAGTAAGATGAGCAATGAATTCTTTCTTAGCGAACTCACCACCTCCATCACATTGAAAAATTCAAATTCGTTTTTCAAATCTCCTTTCAACCATACGATGAAATTTCACAAATACAAAGAAAAATTGAAATTTTCTTTTCAAAGGATAAATCCTAGAAAAATGCATATAATCTTCCGCAAACACCACATAAAAGTGATAATTCTGATTAGATAAAATTGGAGCCATAAATCAATTAATCTTAAAAAAAGGTTCTGTAGAGGTCTCATCAGTACTACAAATGGGAGTTTACAACTGTTTCCCATCTGATAACTAGCACAAACAGAAAGCTTTATTCCATGCATCAACATTAATCAGCTGTTTAGATTTTAAATTATATACTACTCTATTTTGAGGATATGTTGATGTTACACATCTTCTGATGTTCTTTTATTTCAATTAGAAAATAAACCTTCAGGTAGATCCTCAAGTGCATAAAGTCCGCTATTTCTACACCTGCTGGCTAGAATTTTCCTTGTGATTCTTTCCTTAATCAAAAAATCATTTGATGAGAACTAAAAAATACAAGAAAAATCTTTTATAAATTGCCCAACAAATAATAAATTATTTTTCATCTCTGGCATGAAAAGAACGTTAGAAATATTAAATTTTCTAAACCTAATATCAATATTTGCAGCTCTAACATGTGAAATAATCAATTGCTCACCATTGTCAACCATGACTGTATCTCTACCAATATAAGGACAAAGGTTTTGCAGTTTATCTAGGTCTCATGTCATATGAGTTGAGGTGTATCTGGAAACCATTCCGAGTCTTGAGAATTAGCTATGGTCACTGCAGCAAGAGGTTGAGGAATGTCATTTTCTTGGTACTTATAATTTAATCTATGCCAACACTTCAATGCAGTGTATCCAAATTTTCTACAAATTTGACAAATTTCCTGGGGTGTCTGAGCTAAATATTGTATCTGTGAATCTTGTTGGAACCTTTGATTCACGTGTTGCATAGATGTACCACCATTTTCTTGGTTTGTACGAGTCACACCACATCCCCCATTATTGTTCTGGCTTATTTGAGTAAATCCACGCTCCCGAGAATTGAAAAAAATTTGACCATCAAAGTTGTGTAGACCTCTACCTCTATAATTTCTAATACTTCTGTTAGGTTCAAAAATTTTCTATTGTGCAACAAGGGCCATATTCTGATTTGGACATGAGTATTCTTCAGAGACATGAGGCTGATTTCTAATCTCATAGCTTTGAAGAAGTGTACTTTCAAAATAGGAAGGAACTGGAGGCTTAAGCATAGTGGTAACAAAACTCTCATATTTTGGACAAAGTCCATTAAGAATGTACAGGTATGCCAATAGCAGCCAAATCATCATAAATACTATTGAATCTGCATATGTATTCTGATAGAGTTAGAGTTGCTAGATAAGTTGGAACTCCCTAGCTTGAGAATTACCTGCATAGATATTCTTTAGAACTTTCCATACTTCTGCGGAGTGTTAAGGCCAACCACAAGACTGAGACGTTATTCTGATAGTGTCCATGTGATCCAAGTTTTAATAAGCTAGTCGCACTTTAATTATAATTTGTAGTCTGGGATTTCGATTTCACTCTTACAGAAGAAAAATCTTTTGAATTGGTGTAGGGCAATCACCACTAACAAATCAAAAAAATTCCTGACTCTCAAACAGTGCTAGTATCTAGGTTTCTCATAATAGATAGTTGTTCTATGTTAATTTTGTCGACACAAAATTTCTTATGTGAATGGTGGAGGGATGGGGATATTTTGGATATTGGAGTGTCCATTACACCTAAAGGATCTTTGAGGATAGATGAATGGTACACAACGGAGCTTGAATTGCTAAAGATGGAATGGGCTTTTAGTGGGTGTTGGAAGGTTTTCAGAAGATGCGTAAGAAGGGAAGATGACGAGCATGGTGAAGGTCATATCGACTTATCTTGAGAAGGAAAAGAGATAGCTTAGTGTTTTGATTGCTTTGGATGAGAAAATAACTAATGGAAAATAAGAGATGGGTTTGTATCTTAGAGAGTTAAAGAAAAAAGGAAAACATGAGAATGAGGGCTTCAATGGAAGGAAGTTATGGAAAAACAAAGATTAATAATATGAAAGATGGGAAAGGAAGATGATTTAAGGTGGCTCGTGGGATGCGAAGTGTAAGGGTGGTGGAAGACTGGAAGAAGATTTTGAAGGATATTAGAGAGCGTGGATTTTGGACGGCGGTAAGAAAAATCGTGAGAGGAAAAGTGGTGGAAGGAAAATTGGAAGATGATGACTTAATAAAAATAAAAGATGGGCAAAGGAAAAAGATTAAAATATCATGAGTCAAGATGAGGTGCTTGTTATACGTCATTTTTTACGTACTTTTATCTCTAGGGCGAATAAGGAGAGAGCTAGTAGTAACTTGATCCCACAGGTGCCCGAGATACTACCAGACCACAAGAACACTGTAGTAATAAGCCTAAAACTAGGTTATATCTGAAGA